CTCTAAATCCCGTCGGAAAAAGGGCAATAACGTCTTTCCCCTTGATAAAATTCACCAAACATTCTCTTTGTTCTGGCTTCAAATTCTTGATCTCAGGAATTGTTGCCAACACAAAATCTATGGCTTTGTCTACATCCATCTTACCACCGCTTTATTTACTGTTGTGCTGTTCCATATTGGTACTGATTGGCCAGTGCACGGGGTTCTTGCAAACCGTCTAGTGTATTCTGATTTCTGACCTAGTCGCTGTAGAGAAATGAAATTGAGCAGAAACACTAGGTGCCGCCAGCCTGGCTAACCAATCTCTACTGAACAAAAATAAAATAAAAAATGTAGCTGCTAACTTGAAAACTACCATTTCATGACATCACAAGGTAGAACAGAGCTTTTAAAACTTTGGAGACAGACTAATAAAGGATTATTCAAATACACGTGAATGAAACTAAAACACAACTCGAGATATGTTTTTGAGGACACAACAACATTATAACCTGACTTAAAGCTCACAAGAGTACATTTTGTGTAATATAGGACCTGTACACTGGAAAAAAAAACAATATCTAGCTAAGTTAAAATGACTCAAATTAAGAACATTTTACTTTATTTGAGTCGACATGTAAAATTATCTACCAATGGAATAAGTTTGTTTTTCTTCATTCAAACAACATTTGATTTTGTTTCTTATTTGAAGTGCAATAAGTTGTTTTTTCTTATTTTAAGTGTAGCAAGATGTATTTTCATATTTTAAGTACAAAAAAGTCTTGTTCTACTTGCAGATAATTTTACTCGTCAAGTGAATTTGACTCAAATAATGATAAAACTTTTTTAATTCAATCATCTAAACTTGACTAGATATTGTTTTTGCGGTGTAAAATAGTTATAAAGCTACAAAAAATATATATATAATCTAAAATCTACCCAGATACCAAACAGCAGACATCTATTTTCATCCAATCAGGCTCGTTGTTGCTAAGATTTATCTGAAATTAACTACTTGACACTCTCCCAGACACTTGATTATCTGTCATGTTGCAATATTACAGTTGCGGGAAATTACAAAGTGGGCGGGGCTTAAAGTTCATATTAAAACTTGCTCTTGACTAATAGTTTGAAATCAGGGACAGGCCCTTTAGTTGCCCAAATTAAAAAAGGATTACAGCGACGGGCTCATTAGGTAAGATTACACTGTCTGGACCGAGATAGCTGTATTAAAAGCATCGGTGTATGTTTGGACTTTACCATTAATCTCAGTAAATCCAATTAAACGTCACAGGAGTCTATAGGAGCAACAGGACCCGGGTCAAAACAATGGGCTCGATGTCTGACCCACATGTTAAATCTCTGTGTTGTCAACTGTCAATCAAACTTATGCCCGCCCCTTCTCCATCTTTAATTTTTTAAACGTCTGCCTTTGCACATTAGACAGGCCGCTTCTGTGTTTTGTGTTTTTAAATCTCTTCTTAAAACGCACTTGTTCACTTTGGCTTTTGACACAGTTTGAGATATTGACATTTTATTAGTTGTTTTTATTATATTCTGTTTTTAGTCAGATGTTGTTTTATTGTTTTTATTAGATTCCATTTTTAATCATTTATTGTTTTATTGTTTTTACTAGATTCTGTTTTTAGTCATTTATTGTTTTATTGTTTTTATTAAATAAAGTTTTTATTCATATGTTTTAATCGTTTTTATTAGATTCTGTTTTTATTCATATGTTGTTTTATTGTTTTTATTAGATTATATTTTAGTCATGTGTTGTTTTATTGTTTTTATTTTATTATGTTTTTAGTCATATGTCATTTTATTGTTTTTATTAGATTCAGTTTTTATTAAAATATTGTTTTGTTGTTTTCATTAGATTCTGTTTTTAGTCATATGTTGTTTTTATTCATATGTTCTTTTATTGTTTTTATTAAATTCTGTTTTTAGTCATGTTTTTTATTGTTTTAACTTTTTTTAGTAGATTCTGTTTTTAGTCTTATCTTGTTTTATTGTTTTTATTAGATTCTGTTTTTAGTCAGATGTTGTTTTATTGTTTTTATTGTTTTATTAGATTCTGTTTTTAATCATATGTTTTTATTGTTTAAATTTTTATTAGATTCTGTTTTTAGTCATATGTTGTTTTATTGTTTAAATTTTTATTAGATTCTGTTTTTAGATATATGTTTTTTATTGTTTACATTTTTTTTTGTAGATTCTGTTTTAGTCATATCTTCTTTTATTATTTTTATTACATTCTGTTTTTTGTCATTTATTGTTTTATTGTTTTTATTAGATTACGTTTTTAGTCATATGTTGCTTTATTGTTTTTAGTCGATTATGTTTTTAGTCATGTCTTGTTTTATTGTTTTTATTAGATTCTGTTTTTAGTCATTGTTGTTTTATTGTTTTTATTAGATTCTGTTTTTAGTCATTTATTGTTTTATTGTTTTTATTAGATTCTGTGTTTAGTCATTTATTGTTTTATTGTTTTTATTAGATTCTGTTTTTATTCATACGTTGTTTTATAGTTTTTATTACATTCTGTGTTGGCGCCTTCTCGTTTCCATGGAGATAGATATCTTTAATGTCATACTGTGAAACATTCACCAGAAAAGTTCCAGTTGTTTTTAATAACTTTTCTATCTGGCTGGAATGTTCCACAGCATGGCATTAAACTAATCTATCTTGCACTTACTCAGTTATAACTCTTTGCTTAAAAACAAACAACTCAATATCATACCTGTGGGCTCGTCTTTCCACAAACCTGACCTGTAACTTGGGCTGGAGGTGCCATCTGCTTGTTTCCATGGAGACAGGTGGCTAACCCTCAACCAAAAAGTTACACAGTGCACCTTTAAATATTTTTTTTAAATTGTGTATTAAGCAGATTGATTTCAAGGCGGCTCTGGTAACATCAAAAGTTGCAAATTTCTAGTGTACATCTCCATGGAGACAAGCAACGGACACCACCAGGGTACATTACAAGTCAGATCTATGGAGAGGCAATCCCACTCACGGTAAGACTCCAGTGTTTTTCGAGGAATAAAAACAACTGTGAAAAAAACACTACAAGATAAACATTTAACACAAGCACCTCATCACAAATAGGTCCTCCACTCCACTCCAGTCCAGGCAGAAAAGTTACTCAGTGTACCTTTAAGTGAGTACACCGTGTGAAGTGGACCATGGCCCAAACCCAAGCCCTGTGTCCAGCCAGGCGTATCTGGACTATCAGGTTTCCCAGATACAGCTTTGCCTGTTCAGCTTGGCACAGTGTGGTTGGGTACAGTACATCTTGGCCCCTGCTCAGATCTTAAAGTCACACTAAAAGATTAACATTACTTAATTACTCATAACTGTTGCTTAGACCTCCTAAAACCTGATTTACTGGGAATTATCGAAAGCAGATTATAGCGTTTCTTGAAAGAATTTGGTAAAAAAAAACAAAAAACGTACGTGATTCGAAGGAGGTAAAAGTAGCAGTTGAGTTTTCAAAACACAATGACGTCCACTATAATCCCATTAAGAATGAAAACAACGACGAAGTGAAAACAAGCAGGAATTTGATAAGACGAGTACAACATATTTACTCAGATTATTATCAGGGTGGAAACTTTTAAGTATTTTAAATAATTCATAGTTGCAGTGGAAAGACAACGTGCATCAATTGAGTAAAATGGAGCTTGGATTGATATATTTCTGCACGTGATCGAAAGAATAAGGAAAAAATGTGTCAAAATGGTAAATAAAAATATAACTACAACTTTTTTTTTTAAAAGAGGTCATATATTACTCTATTTTCTGATCTATGTTTTAATGTTTCCTCATCACAAACAGACCTGGAGTTGTGTTTTGTTTCACTCACACATGTTTAACACCGAAATCCTGCATATTTAGGCTGAGCTCTTCTCTCAAACTGAAACACTCTGTTCCACCTTGTGATGTCATGCGGTAATACTGTGTGATTTTAAACTCCATGTACCTTTACTTGAATCATTTGGTTAATTTCAGCCCTGAAATTGTCGATCTTTACTGAACTAAATTTAAAAAAACGTAGCTGTTCACTTGAAAACTACCACTTCATGACATCACAAGGTGGATCAGAGTGTTTTGATCTGTGGAGTTGCAGACAAACTAATAAACCAGGATTACTCAAAAATGTGTGAATGAAACAAAACACGACTCCAGCTCTGTTTTTGATGAGGTAACAACATTCTAACATGACCAAAAGCTCACAAGAGACAGATTTGCATAATATTGGACCTTTAATGATTTTTTACTTTTTGAAATTAATTTATTTTATTTATTTTTTGACTTATATCCAGTTGATACAATCCATAAAAAAAATTTTTTTTAATACTTTCTCACTTTTTTTTTTTTCCCAACCCGGAGTCAATCACAGTTCATTTTTCACATTTCATACACTTTTTCACATTTTCACTTGAGTGTCATCACGTGATACAAAACACTGCCTCTCTTGTGTCACATTTTTACAAATACATGTATTCTAACTAGATATAGCAGATTAGTTTGTCTTTTTTTTTTTCTTTTTTTTTTTCTTCCTATTTCTAATTATCTAGTGTTGATCAGTGCTTTAAATTAACACACAAATTACAAGCAACATAAGCAACAGACTCACAAAACTTAATAATGAAATATAAATAGTCAATATGCATTTAGATACAGATTTTTAGCATTTTAAACAACCAAATTTCATCAGGTTTTTGACATTTTACTACATAATTTAGACCTAAACTCAACAATACAGACTCAACTTGCTTTTTAAATAATCCACTGAGCCAAAATATCATTACCAAACAGACAATAAAAAACATTTTGACAGTCCTAACAAGACCAATTTCAACACAAGAGTCTACATTTCCTTTTTTCTCAAACTTACAACAACTTTTCAACCACTCCAGAAGCAAAACATCACAACTCAGAACCATTTCCAACAATTTTCTGACTTGTAACGCACACACCTGTCCAGCGGGAGGCGCACTTTAAATTGATCTTACCTGTGATGAGCACCGCTTTCCCATTGGCCGGCAGGAGCTGCACCGGCTTGGCTTTCACGTTCCGGTACCCCCACCAGGCGAGCCCGGCCACCGCCAGCACCAGCGCGGCGGGCAAGCAGAACGCCCACAGCCTCTCCACCAGCACCGTCGCACCTAACCACGCCACGAAGGTAGACGCGCCGCTCAACTGGGACGCCAAGATCTTCTTCACGGCGCCCCCTAGGAACACGGTGAGCACGCACAGGTAAATGACGAATGGTAAAGTGTAGTCCTCCATGGTGTGGGGTGTTTTGTTTTGTTTTGGGTTTTTTTTGGAAGGGGGTGTCCCGGTAGTAGCAGGGACTTTGAGGTGTGTTTTGGTGGTAAGGAAGCCGGTGTACACAGCTCCTCTGTCTCTCCCTGTGCAGGCTCAGAGCATATATAGAGGCAGGGAGCAGAGTGGGAGGGACTGAGCAGCCAGCAGCATTTAATCTCCAGCCAAACGGATACAAAGTTTAAGAGGCACAAGTCACACGGTCCGCCCTGGCTGTACTCCTCATAAATAATCATTAGTGGATTACCGTGCGCGGACAACATGTTTCTACACTGCAAAAACCTTATATCTCGGTGAGTTAAAAGTGCTCAAATGAAGAAGGTTTAACAGGAGCCGGTTAATTTCACACATTTCACACAAGGGAAATTATCTACCGGTGGAATAAGACGTGTCTCTACACTGCAAAAAAATTACTCAGATTTAGATGATTTGAGATTTGACCTGAGGTAAAATGATTTAACAATAGAGACTACGCTTTTTGTACTTAAAATATGAAAATACATCTTGAGATAAGAACAACAACAACTCTTTGCATGTAAAGTAAGAAGCAGAATCTAATGTTGCTTGAATTCAGAAAAACACACTTGTTCCATTAGTTGATAATTTTACTTATCAAGTTGAATTTACTCAAATAAATAAAGTAAATTAACTTGGCAAAATTTTAGTTTTTGCAGTGTAACATGTTTTTACACTGTAAAAACTCTATAAAGATTCAACAATATTTGAGAATATTTCACAGATTTCGCATAAGCAAAATTATTTACTAATGAAATAAGACTTTTTGTACTTAAAATATGAAAATATATCATGTTACCCTTGAGAAAAACAAAATAAGAAACAAAATCTAATGTGGCTTGAATTAAGAAACACACTTGTTCTATTGGTTGATTATTTTACTTGTCAAGTTGAATTTACTCAAATAAATAAAGTAAATTCACTTGGCCAGATTTTAGTTTTTGCAGTGTAACAGGTTTCTACACTGCAAAAACTCATATCTTGGTAAGTTATAAGTACACATTAATATTCAAGATGATTTGAGGAAATTTCACAAATTTCATACACATAAAATTATCTTCCAATAAGACTTCTGTACTTAAAAAAATGGTTGATCATTTTACTTGTCAAGTTGAATTTACTCAAATAAATAAAGTAAATTAACTTGGCTAGATTTTAGTTTTTGCAGTGCAACATGTTTTACACTGCAAAAACTCATATCTTGGTAAGTTAAAAGTACTCGTAATTATAAAGATTCAACATGATTTGCGCAAATTTCACACAAGTAAAAGACTTTTTGTACTTCAAAAATACATCTTGTTACACTTAAAATAAGAAAAACAAAACAAGAAACAAAATCTAATGTGGCTTGAATTAAGAAAAACACTTGTTCAATTGCTTGATCATTTTACTTGTCAAGCTGAATTTACTCAAATAAACAAAGTAAATTAACTTGGCCACATTTTAGTTTTTGCAGAGTAACATGTTTCTGCACTGCAAAAACTTATATCTTGGTGAGTGAAAAGTACTAGTAGTAGTATAATTAGAAAGATTCAACATGATTTGAGTAAATTTCACAAATGTCACACAAGTAAAATAATCTACCAATGGAATAAGACATGTTTCTATACTGCAAACACGCATATATTGGTAAATTAAAATGACTTAAATAAACATGAGAAAAACAATATCAATACGGTTAAAATAAGAAACTAAATCTTGTGTAGCTTGAATTAAAATATACTTATTCTATTTTTAGATGAGTCAAATTTCAAATCATGTTCAATGATTCTTGATTTAATTTGCCAAGATTTGAGTTTTTACAGTGTAGAATCATGTTGCACTGCAAAAACAAAATCTAGCCAAGTTAAGATGACTTGATTTTTATTTATTTTTTTGCACTTAAAATAAGAAACTAATAATATATCTATATATTTATTTATTTAGATTTTTTACCTAAAAAATCTTAAATCATATTAATTTTCTTAATTTAAATTTGCCAAGATTTGCCTTTTTGTAGTGTAGAAACATGTTGCACTGCAAAAACTAAAATCTGGCCAAGTTAATATACTTTATTTATTTGAGTAAATTCAACTTGACAAGTAAAATGATCAACATATTGAACAAGTGTTTTTCTTAATTCAAGCCACATTAGATTTTGTTTCTTATTTTGTTTTTCTCAAGTGTAACAAGATGTATTTTCATATTTTAAGTGCAAAAAGTCTAATTCCATGAGTAGATAACTTTACTTGTGTGAAATCTGTGAAATGTTCTCAGATATTTTTGAATCTTTATAATTTTCAGTACTTTCAGTTTACCAAGATATGAGTTTTTGCAGTGTAAAAACATGTTACACTGCAAAAACTAAAATCTAGCCAAGTTAATTTACTTTATTTATTTGAGTAAATTCAACTTGACAAGTAAAATGATCAACTAATAGAACAAGTGATTTTTCTTAATTCAAGCCTTATTAAAGTAGATTCTTAAAATTTAAATAAATTAAATTATCTATCAGTGGAAAAGGTGTTTTGTTTTGTTTATTATTCAAGCAACATTAGATTTAGTTTTTCATTTTAAGTGCAAAGAAATGTTTTTCTTTAATGTAACACGACATATATTTCCTATTTTAAGTATGAAAGGCTTGTTCCATTTGTAGATAATTTTACTTCTTAAGATAATATTTTTAATTCACGTCTTTTGAACTTGATTTGACTCTTTGCAGTGCACCTCCTGTCTGTTTTTCTTTCTGAACTTGCTGGTTAAGGGACATTCTTCAAAGCAAAATCTGGAGATAAAGAAAATTATTACAGTTTGACGATATTTTAATAGTTTTTTTTTTTTTTGCTCATTGGACACTTTTGGTACAGTTAAAGGTGCACTGTGTAACTTTTCCGGTGTTGGGGTTTACGGCATCTGCCCTTCTCCATAGAAATGTTATTTATGTTTTTGTAATGTCCAATAATAAAACATCAATATTGCGTTTGTTTAATTTTTGGTATAAACCTGTAACTTGGTCTGGTTTTGTCACTTGCTTTTCTCCATGCAAATAATAACGTTTAAAGCAATAACCATGGACCAGAAAAGTTACACAGTGAACCTTTAAGACGTAAATTAAAGGAACTGTGTGTAATTTGGGTTCTTGCACTTAAAACCTTCTGCAGATTGAGGACACGTACAAGTTTTCCTCATTCTTAGTATGAACAGCAACAAAAACTCCAAACGTGACATAACACAAACAACTCCAAAGTTTATGTAAATAAGAATGAATCAGCATTACAGTTTTTTTTTTATCAGGAAAAGTTGTATTTGATTTGAACACGTCTATGGGAGGTCATTTTTATGGAAATTAAAATCTTACGTACAGTTCCTTTAAAGTTTAACTAGTTATTTATAATTTAGTTGTTTCTTAAAATGTGTTTTTGTCAGTGTAGTCAGTCCAGAAACTGCAGGTCCACTGCAAAAAAACTAAATCTCGCCAAGTTAAAATGACTTGGATTAAGAAAGTTGAGGAAATTTCACTTGACAAGTAAAATGATCTGCCAGTGGAACAAGACTTTTTGTACTTAAAATATGAAAATACATCTTGCTACACTTAAAATAAGAAAATAAATTAAGAAAAACACCTAGAATCTACTCAAATAAAGTAATCTTGGCTAGATTTTAGTTTTTGCAGTGCAACATGTTTCTACACTGCAAAAAGTCAAATCTTGGTCAATTCACACTAAGAAAATGAACATGATTTAAGATTTTTGAAGTAAAAATATCTTCGGATGGAGTGTTTTATTATTATTATTATTAGTAGTAGTAGTAGTAGTAGTAGTAGTAGTAGTAGTAGTAGTAGTAGTAATCATTATTATTATTACTCAGGAAACACAAGGTTTATTTTCTTATTTTAATAGAAACAAAATCTAATGTTGCTTGAATTAAGAAAAACACACTTATTCCATTGGTAGATAATCTCACTTGTCAAGTTGAATCGACTCAAATAAAGTGAAATATTCTTAATTTAACTAGATATTGTTTTTTGTTTTTTTGTTTGTTTGTTTTTTCCAGTGTATGAACTTTTGCTAAAACCTGTCAGTCAGTTTTGTGCAATATAAGACCTTTAATTGTACATTGTCTCTCATCAAATTAAATAAATACAAAAATAAATAAATAAAGAGTTCCTTTGCAAAAAAAATCCAGTTTCAAAAAAGTTGATTTTACTGCAATTAAAATGATTCTATCTTTTTTTTTTTTTTTGCAATTTATCTCTTCATTTATTTACATTTTCGACTGTATTTTTATGTTTGATTTTGATTTGAAACTGTATTTTTTATGTATGTTTGTATTTTTGATGATGTATTTTATTTATTTATTTTTGATCCCATCAGATTTTAGTTAAAGAAACACTTCTGTAACTTCTCTCTGCTCTCTGTTTTAACTCTGCTCTGGTGTAAAACTTATTAACTCATCACGGTGAATAATTAGGATGCTCAGAATTCCTAAGGTAAGTGAGGAATAACTTTGGACCACTGCAAACTGTTTGAAAATGAACTCGTTCTAAACAGTAAAAATCAGCAGTTTTAAGTGTAAATTCTATTAAAATCTACAAGTTAAATAGCCAATATGGAAGTAATTTTAACTGGAAATTAAGATCCATAAACACATTTTTCCATTTTATCCGTGTGGTTTGCAGAATGTGAGATAGTCATGGACTGAAAAAGAAAAAAAAGGAAAAACATATGGAGAATAAAAAACAGTCCAACCTTGAGCGTGCAGGTGATTTGTCAAAGCGCGATGCAGGATCGTATGTTCTATGTTCTGAGAAGGTCAAGATCACAACTGCATGTGGAGATAAACCCAGAGGAGAACAAAGAGGAGGAGAAGAGGAGAAGAGAGAAGGAGAGGAGAAGAAAGGAGAAGCAAGAAGGAGCAGAGGAGGAGAAGGAAGCAGAAAGGAGGAGAGAGGAGCAGAGGGAACAAGCATAAAGGTGCAGTGGAGGAGAGAGGAGGAGCAGAAAGGAGCAATGGAGGAAAGGAGCAGAAGAGGAGAAAGAAACACAAGAGAAACATAGAGGAGGAGGAACAAAG